GGCGGTTCTAAGGACCGCGTTGAAGTGGTCCGTCCACCGTCGGTGACACCATCCCCTCCCTAACATTCAGCATACGGTCCCAGCCGATGTGCCAAAAGGGCTGGTTTGCTTACGTCATAGGTGTGTGTGTTATTGATGTCATAATCACTTTATACAAAAAGTAGGTGGGCAAAGGTCAGCTGTTGGCACAAACCAGCAACTCAGATCACATAGTCTCAAAGACTCATAAGACTCATAAAGGCTTAGATCATAAAGCTTCTACTTAAAGATTGCTTTAAAAATACTGGTTCACTCTAATATTATAAACTACTCACTTCGTTTTGCTTGCTTTGGAGCTGCTCAGAAATAACAGCATTCAGCGCAAGCAATTAAGTGAGGTCATCCCACAGGCAATTCTGGGAATGTGCGAAGTGACCTGCCGTGCGCTACAGTAATCCGCTATTTACGCTACCGTACTCATTTTCAAACTACCTATGTATCGCCACCCCTGTCCTCCTACCATTGGATTGAGCAGTGGTGCTTTTGCAACTTATGATGGACTGTGAGCAGTTGTCATCTGACCACTCTCTACATGACTGTGTTCAGAACCTCCAGCGTTCTGGTCACCTTTCTCGAGCCAACCAGGGTATTTCAGTAGTTTCGCTTCTTCATGCTTTTCCTGAGATCTAAGATGTCAGAACTTGTGGGGCGGCCGCAACAGAGGCTAATTTCATTGGTCTTCTCTCTACCACACGGTGGGCCGAGGAGCGGTTAAAAAAGCAAAGAAGCGCGATGTTCATCACTGGATATCCGACCTTACTGTATTAGGAATTAGGACGTCTGGTGAGGTTCGGGTGCATCTTCAGATGCACAACGAATGATAAGCCGTGCACTTCAGCAAGTTTATTCACAAAAGGTTATGGAAAGTGAAGGTATGCCAACCTTCGGAAGTAGCCTACAGATTTCCGCACATTTGAACCTCGAAATCTGCTGCATTATATATGGAACACCCCCGTGGGTGAGTTTTAAGAAGCTATCACATGTTCAAGCAGCCTACAAAGTAATCTTTCTTATGACTCTGTTTTTTCTATTTCATATTCTATTTCCTTTCCTTTTTCATTTTCTATTTTCTACTTCATATTTCCTGCAGCATATTCTTAATTGTCATTGTTTCAAGTGCAAATAACTGCACGATCTAGTGTGACAGCTTGCTGTCGAGAAGGGGTAATTGATTCGACTATCCCTGCCTCTCCGACTCTAAGGCAAGCCTCGGGATAAAATAGGTGTGAAAGGGTGTTCACCTATAAAGCTAGAGGTGGAGTTGTTTGAAAAAAGAAGAGAGCAAGAGAAACCCCCGGTTATGCCCTAGATAAGCACCACTCTATTTCAAATGCTACTCGGTTTGAAACGGCCACTTCGGAGGTATCTCTCCTTACATATGTCGAATAGATAGCTAGTTTTGTCACTCCCTCCATATCTTGACTACTGAGAACTCTTTGAAATCGGATCAAATGAATGAACGGCATAAAAAATCGCTGCCGTGCCTCATCCGTATTGCCAAATCATCAGTCAACGATTCTGTGCGGACGAAAATCATCACTTTCTCTACTACGAATCTGATCACGACATATTCCCTCTATCGCCTGGCTTGGCCTTCTCATGTGATAACTTAGAAGACAGTCAGGACTCAAGATAGGGAAATCCTCATTAGGTGCCAACACAGAAATGGTTCTCACGAAAATCCAGGGCACGATTGGATTGAGCTTGTTGAAACGCAGGACAGCAACCACCCTCTTTGAAGAAATTCCGTTATAATCCTTTTGTGTGATTTCGATCTTACCGACATGGGGATTCTGCATCAATACCTTGCCATTTGACAAGTTTTCAACCGCACTTCCACGAACCTCTAACTCGATCTCAAGCGGATTATTCAGCCAATATGTATATGCTAGTGGATCGGCCGGGCTGTGAACTCTCTTCACATAGTAAATTTTTTTTGGAGCCACTATTGCAACGTATGCTCCCATAGAACCAATCTCCCTTCTTCAGACGCTTTCCCGTTTGCTTTACATATGTTTCTTCGACGGGTATAACTCCTAGTTCCACACTCCATGCTTCAGTTCTGTATTGGTCGCTACGAACACAGAGCATGAGTGGTGGAGTTATGAGATCTACATTTTGTTCAAGCACAGGTAGTGATGCAGGACGTCCTTTCGGAATTTTGAATTTTTTTCGTTGCTGCATCCCATCGTACACTCTCGCAGAATACGGACCTTCGTCGATACCAAATCCTGCCTGACCAAGTGGTGCTTCATTCAGTTTTTCTTTGGTTTCCTTTTTCGCTAAAGTTGTCAGTGCGAATCTTCTCTCCTCATCCTCAAGCAATTGATTTCGACAGCGGTTGATTATATCCTCATTAGCAACTGGTTTCAAAACGTCACATATTCGAAACTCTACTCCATAGAAAGCTGCCGTCTTCGACACGTCTCTTCGTACGTAAGTCGAATATATGGTGAGTTTTGTTAGTTTTTCGTCGCATTCGGTATTGAGCACTCTTAGGAATTTATCCGACCATAGGATCCTCTCGCCGTAACTTTCGTGTTGAATACATTTGCTGGCACCCACGTAGGTCAGCAATCTGACCACGCCGTCCCTACCAAGGATGACTTCCTTTTTCGGACTTCCATCTTCCTTCTCAATGTTCACATCAAAAATACCATCGGAATCCTTCTCCTTTATTGAAAACGTGATCACCCAGCTTCTGCATATCCCTTTATCAGTCCTGATTTTTAGAAGCCTCTTTTGAGCGAAACGAAACATTCGAATATTCGAAGCTCTTCCGATACAGTGTCAACTAGATAGCTAGTTTGTTATTATATATATTAATATATATACAGGGGTGGCCAAAAAAAAAGAGACACTTTGCCCATGGCGCACTTCATCGAACTTTTCGTCGCACAAAGTGCCGATGTTAGGGAAACTTCTACGGCGTAATACTCCATAAGTGTTCCCCCGTAAGTTGAAGCAGCCCCTCCTTCGCTGTCCCCGCCGTCTCCAGAATATGACGTCATCTACCGCCACCGTCGAGCTCAACGAGGCTTACCGTAATCGCTCCGGCCTGAAGCTACTTCACGATTTCTCCAATGGATTGATGGTTAAATAGCTTACCCGAGACATTAGCTGTGACTATACAAAACCACTTTTGACCACCGTGTCAGGGACGTCGTAATGGTCTATGGTACCTCGACGACCCCGTTGAGCTCGTATCGCGAACTATACTTCCGTGAGAAAATCTTTTCTGCATGTCGTCGTTGTAGAGGCGGTGTCGTAAATTAAGGTTTACGATGAAGAATAGGAAGAGTCTCTTTCAAACAGTGAGTTGGAGGGCAGCTCGATTGATTTTCGGCAAAGTGTGATTAATTGCTGTCTGACAATGTGGAGTTCAAGTGTCTCTTTTTTTTGGCCACCCTGTTATATTATATATATGTAGCTGATGCTACCTTCCTTTAAGGATTTGTTTATTTTTGTTACTAGTAATTGTTACTAGTTAGTTATTTGTTATTTATTGAATCCGTTGTTATTTAATCATGCTATGTTACAGAGAGTGATGAATGTTGGCTTCCATGATCTTGGTGATCAGTACTGTAGTGGTCTGCAGATCGGTGATCACAAGGAGCATTTGATCTACGAGGCACTATATAAGGGCGACCTCCCAGCATGGACCAACCACTTTGCCTTTCTCGCTATCAGGATCGGTCGGCTCTCCTCCCCACCCTCAATAAAGGACCAGACCCGGATCTCTTCTCTATCCACATTCAATATTCTCTGGTTGTTACTAATAAAACTTAGAATATAAGTTTTCAGTACAGTGCGATCCGGTGGTCCATCCATCAAATATCTATTACTGCTATACTCAAACCTAGTATTCTATTCTCCACTGAACCACAATTTGGTGCATCGGCACTCGATAGGACTCAGGTCGGTTTGCCGTTCTTTTCAACAGTAGTCAAAATTCACTGCGGTTTTTCCTTTGATTCCAAGAGTGGACTTTCAAACATTTAACCGCATCCATTTTGGTAATAACGGCTTTATTACCATATTCTTTCTGATTCGCTTTCCTTTCAATAAGCGGATATTCATTCATTATGTCCTCTCAATTCGCTATCCGAAAACGCCTTCTCACAATGGCGGTCAATAAACTGGAGCAAACCATAAGCGATATTGAGAAACAAAACCTAGAGAAAGCCTCTCTAAGTTCCAATACCGCGCAGGAAAGGGTGGATGGCATCAGTAAATTGGAGGAAGCCATTGGCACAATAGAGTGTGTAATAAAAAATGTGGAAAATAATCTCCTTGGGTACGCCTCAAGCATCGACAATCTAGAGGATCCCAATCTCGGAGAAGAACAAGATTTTACGGCCTACTCAGAAAGGGCAGAAACAGCTCTTTCAGAAGCTTTCGACAAGCTTTTACTTCTGCAAGCTCGCCGACAAACCCTCACTTTGAGGAGTGCGCCATGCACTGAACAAACAGCCGCAGAGGGTCCATCACAACGGTCTCTGGAGACCTCAACAGGGTCAGATAATCATGTGTATACTGCGGCAGCGGATTTACCCTCGCTTCCCATTCCAACCTTCACAGGAAACATATGGGAATGGGATAACTTCTGGGAAATTTTCAATAGTAACATCAATTCCAGGAACCTTCCGGAAATGGTCAAGTATAACTACCTCTTGGATGCCCTCAAGGGAGAGGCCCGGGAGTCCATCATAAAATTTAGAGTTACCAGGGACAACTACTCCAAGGCGGTCGCTTGCCTATTCAATAAGTACAATAATAAGGAGGCCTTGGTGAACCATTTGGTGGAGCAACTAGAGACTTGCACGCTGCGTTCCCCATCAATAAAGACCAGCGCTCCCTTCTAGAAAAGCTCCAGGCTATCATTATTCAATTAGAAGATAAGGGAGAATATGTTAACAACTCGTGGCTGATTAAAGGTGCTAGCCAAATTTCCCGATTCCATCAAACGGAAAGTCATCAACAAGAAACAGGGACTAGCGCCAGATATGGCATTCAATATGGGTCATCTTTTCAAGTTTTTAGACGAGATCCTTTCTACAGAAGAAACATTCTTAATGTTTGCCGACAGAAACCCATCTGCGCAAAGGGGGCGCATTTCCCACGGAAAGGGACGAGTTAATCATACAATATCGGCTAGGTGCATGTACTGTAGAGGGAACCATTCATCAATAAGTTGTACGCAGTACGCTACACCTCAAGATAGGTCATCATATCTACGGGAAAACAAACTTTGCCTCATATGTGCATCTCCAGAACATATCTCAACGCAGTGCATGGGTCGCCTCTGTTTCAACTGTAGCGGTCCCCACCACACGTCTTGCTGCTTTAAATCTAATGGCCGCCAATCCGTGTCCCCACACACCAGGAAGCCGTCTGAGAGCAAGAGTGGAACCTCGGTGGACGCATCAAAGCGAAAGACTTTAAGAGGAAAGTTCAGCAGAGGCTCAGAAAGCAATGTCCGCTCAAATGCGGTAATTGCACAAGAAGCGGAACACGATGCTTCACACGAAGCGGCACATCTTTCAACACAGAGAGTGTTGAGTGCTCAAAATTCACATCGTACCTGTCTACCTACTGGCGTGATGACAGTTATAGATCCCGATACAAAGTCTCTTATCAAAGTGGACGTTCTTTTCGATACAGGAGCAGAAGTATCATTCATAGACAGCACCTTAGCCGAGAGACTCCGTTTACCTGTTCTTGAAGAGAAGAATATCAGGCTTAACACCTTCGGCACGAATGAGGTGATTGAACGAAAATCTCAGAAGGTGCGATTGGAGGCGTGGGACGAAGATGGAAACTTACATTCCCTGATACTACTTACGCACAATATTCTCACACAACCGTTTGAGATTCCATCCCTGTCGATACAAGATCAGGACTTTTTGCGCAACCTCAATGTCACCATCAATTTACGGCAGAGAAAAGGGCCAATAAAACCGTCGATTTTGTTAGGATGCGACCTGCTTTGGTCCTTTGTACGTAGTGATACTGCTCCGCTCCAGCTGCCGTCAGGATTTTACATCCTACCTACAAAACTAGGCTCTCTTGTTAGTGGAAAACCCAGTGTGACGACAGAGAAAGAAGCTCTTCACGTGTCACAGTGTAAGGATAATTATGTGGAGCACTGGGAGCAATACTGGTCGATGAACTCCACTCAGGTTTATACCGTCAGGGAAAGCGATGCCGAGATCACACAGCAAGAAAGAGAGCAGTGGGTGCAATATTGGTCAATGGACGCTGCAGCGACAGAAGAATTTCTAGGACCTGAAAAGGAAGCGCAAACTGAAACGGATAAGCGAGTCTGGGACCGATTCAATGAATCAATTGAGAGACGCAAGGACGGGTATTATGTGCGCTTGCTATGGAAGGAACAATATCCATATCTACCGGATAATCGAGCGTTGGCTTACAAACGACTGCTCAGTGTTTGGAATTCGCTAAAGAAGGATGAACAATTGTTGGATCAATATAATGATGTCTTTCAAGACCAGCTCAGTAAAAATATTGTAGAACCAGTGAACGAAGACGGACCAACGGAGGGGACTCAAATACATTACATTCCTCACCAGCCTGTCCTGACGCCGCAGAAGAACACAACAAAGCTTCGTATTGTTTTTGACGCGTCAGCCCACTACAAAGGCAGTCCTTCCTTGAATGATGTCTTATACAGAGGTCCAGTAATTCTGCCTCTGTTATACGGACTCCTACTACGCTTCCGAATTGGCAAAATAGCATTAATATCGGACGTGGAAAAGGCATTTCTACAGGTTCGTCTTCACGAAGCGGACCGAGATGCAACACGCTGCCTTTGGCTCATCGATCACAAGAAACCCCCATCAATAGACAATATTAGAGTGCTCCGTTTCACTCGTGTCACTTTCGGACTAAAATCCTCACCTTTCCTTCTAGCGGGAACAACATACTACCACTTGGACAAACATAAGGAGGAAGATCTGGTTCAAGAAATCAAGAATAACCTCTATGTGGACAATATCCTTCTAACGTCTGACACATGCGAGGAGGCGCTGAAACTCTACAGCAAGTCCAAAGCAATATTCGCCGAACTGAAAATGAACTTGCGAGAATTCGATTCCAACAGTTACAAACAGTCATGAAATCGACACTGAGGCAGACAAAACAGCAAAGCACTCTCTCCAAAGTCCTTGAATTGAATGGAATTCAACTACGACTCACTAGTTGCAAGGTTTCAATGAAGGAGTTTGATAACACTCAATAAACGAACTATAACCAGCGCAATAGCCACAGTGTATGACCCAATGGGCTGGCTTATACCCCTTATTCACCGAGCCAACGTCTTTCTACAAACTCTATGGAAGATCAGTATGAGTGGACGCCACCTTTATCGAAGAAAAAGCTGAAGAATGGGATCACATCAGTACATCTGAGAGGATTCCATAAGACTGTTCCAAGATTCTAGTCCCAAAGAGACAGATGTAGAACTGGTACATTTGCGGACCCAAGCTTCAGTGGAATGACTGCAAGCGCATACCTTCACCAAGCCACAAAGCTCATCTCTTGATGGCCAAATCCAAAACTACCTTCGATTCATGAAACCACAATACCAAAACTGAGATGAATGCATCACGCTAGCGCTCGTCTAACGAACGCAATTGTAACACATTGAAATCTATACTCACCATCAGAGAAATTTACATTTTATCCGATTCCGAAGTTGCACTGCACTGCTAAGGGTTCCACCTAGTCGAGAACTGGAA